AAAAAAAAAAGCCACTGCTTTCCAGGCCGCCGGCGCCTGACGGCCCGTCAGTTCCACCTCCCCTCCAGCGCCAGCCGCAAATAGCTCTCCCTTTTCCTCCTACTTCCTGGCTTTCCTCCCTTTCGCCCCTTGACCCCTCGCCCCTTTCTCAGGGCTGTTCACGCCCGCCATCCCGCCATCATGTCCGACAAGAGTTTCCACTTCGAGTCGCAGAACACCGACTTCATCCACCACAGCGACTTCCAGGATGTGTCGAATTACTGTGCGTGCGCTTGCTCCCATTGGCTTGCCCGCAACTTCCCTCTTGCGCGACATGCTCTCCCCTCGCAACTCATCTTCCCCCTGTTATCTGACCTCCTCCCCCCCTCCGGCAGACCCTGAGGAGAATGAGGATGACCTCCTGGACAACTATGACCCCGAGGGCGCTCGATATGATGCGGACAGCAGCGAGCAAACCGCCGCCCAGGAGATCATCGACCACCCGCCACCCTCCTTCAGCGAGTCGGTTGGTATTCCGGCCACCCAGCCAGCTCAGGAGGCTGGCCCCGCTTCGGAGGCTGGTCCGGAGGTGCGTGTATGGATGGGGTTTCCGCTCTGCTCTTTTCCTTGCTTGGCGTCCTCCCGGCGCCTTCTTTCCGGTCTCTCTCTCTCTCTCTCTCTCTCTCTCCCCCCCCCCCACCTGCTGGTCTAATCTCTCGCTGCCAAACCCACACACATCACCATAGTCCTATGCCTACCGGCCCAGCCCCCACCATGGCGAGGTGGAGGTCGGTGCCACCCATGTTGGCAGCGGTCCGCTGTATCCCCGCCTGAGTGATGGTCAGCCTCCGGCCACCGAAACAACCGAGTCCTTCGCCGCTCCCCCTCGGCCGACCGAGCAGTATATGCACGATGTGCAGGATCTCCGCCAGGCCCCGGGAGCCGTGTCCATTGGCGCGCACTTCCCCCCGGCCGGTCCCATGGCCCCGATTGGCCTGACGCAGCCCGGCCTCTTCCCGGAGACATGTTTATGCCTTCTTTGGGCTTGGGGCGGGGAGGGTTGTGTGCTGGATGCCGCTCCTGGGGGGGGGGGGGGCACAAAAGTCTCCCCGCCTGGGACACATTGGGGCGGGCATGGACCGTTTGGGCAAGGGGCGCAGGATCAGCATGGGTGCCGGCTTCTGTGCCATATTATTTTCTCCTTTCCACTCCAGGCGGTCTGCGTCAGGGGAGCAATTTGAACAAATGATAACGCCGATCCGGCGCCCCCGACGGCGAGGGGCAGGGGGTCTTTTTCACGAGCCACCAGTTCCTAGCCCCCTTTTTTGCTTGGGGAGGGCGTGGGGGCCCGGGTGGCTGAGCCGTCGCCCTCCGCACAGGCTTTCGGGCCCATTGGCCCCCATCATCCAAGCATGTTGGCCGTTGCCTGCCCGCCAGCACGCCCCCCTCCCCCCTCGCCTTGCCGCGCCTGGTGGCGGGGAAAAAAAAAA